CTTGGGAAAATATGTTCTAAGCGTACTCTTTGGAGTATAACCTATTTGGAAGTTGGAGACTGCCTGTACCCAGCTTGCTAGTCAATTGTTTTTAATGTTAGTAATTCTTAAAATGAATAGAAGTAAAAGTATTTGTGTTGAAAACTAATCCTTTATTTATTCATGCATTTTTAACCTTATAAGTATTAGAACTGTTTCTTTGTATGATCATAATTTTTTTGACCTTTTTGTTCTGGAAGAAAGTGGATGGTAGCCTTTCATTTGTATGTTTGATTTTCTTAAATTTTTCATATTTATTATGTTATTTTACTAATGAAAAATTATTTGTGAGAAATGTTTTGTAAACCATTATGCATTCTTTTGTTTGTTTGTTTGTTTTTGAGATGGAGTCTAGCCCTTTCACCCATGCTGGAGTGCAATGGTGTGATCTTGGCTCACTGCAACCACCACCTCCTGGGTTCAAATGATTCTCTTGCCTCAGCTTCCTGAGTAGCTGAGATTACAGATGGCCACCACCACCTCCAGCTAATTTTTGTATTTTTAGTAGAGATGGGGTTTCACCATGTTGGCCAGGCTGGTCTTGAACTCCTGACCTCATGATCTGCCCACCTTGTCCTCCCAAAGTACTGGGATTACTGGTGTGAGCCACTGTGCCCAGCCATGCATTAGTTTTTAGTTATAAACACTTAAGGAAAGAAAATGATTATTTCCAGCTTATAGATAAGAAAATTGAACAAAGGACAGAGAAAGATATAACTTGCTGAAAAGCATAAGCACCTCTTTTTCAGAGCTCATTTTTTATATGACTTCTCATTTCCTGTTAGACTCATGGCATCTATATTAAAATAACTCTGATACTTGCAAGTTGTTTTAGAAGCTATGTGAAACATTAAAAATATTAAAACAATGGTAATATTTTGAGGTTAACATTGAAACTATCTAAAAGTGATTAAGGCTTATTGAGTAAATATTTCTTAGCTCTAGAATGTCAATACTGTATAAATTATGGAAATTGGGACTATACTTTTTTAATGTTGTAATGGGGAATCCTTATGAGTGAAACAGTAGTCATTTCTATTAGGATTTTATTTTTAAACTACATGTTAATTTTATATTGAACAAGTGGGTATATAGTTTTCTGAATTTTTGTTAATAGTTAAAATTTGAAATTTGGTTTTTAACTTTAATTTGGTTTCATGGAGAACAACTTGAATAAAAATATTGAGATTTAAAAATTTCTCATTTACCACAGACTAAACAAGAAATACTGAGAGTATCTACTTTTTCATATCTTCATTTATGATTAGTGCAAGTTACTAAGCCTCTTAGAGTCTCATTTTCTTATCTGTAAAGTGGGGAAATCTTTGTAGAGTTGATATTTGAGGATTAAACAAGATAGCTATTACCTGAAACTTAGTAGTGACTTAAAAAAAAAAATGCCAAGGTGGTTTTTTTCTCTTCTACAAAGAAGCTGCTAATATACTATCACATCACTTACTGGTGAGGAATCCAGGTACATCATCAGTAAATTCCTATAGTAATGATTTGACTTTTTTTTTGAGAGGGAGTCTCACACTGTCGTCCAGTCTGGAGTACAGTGGTGCTATCTTGGCTCACCGCAACCTCTGTCTCCCAGGTTCAAGCGATTCTCTTGCCTCAGCCTCCTGAGTAGCAGAGACAAGGTTTCACCATGTTGGCCAGGCTGGTCTTGAACTCCTGACCTCAGGTGATCTATGCTTCTCGGCCTCCCAAAGGATTATAGGCATGAGCCACCACGCCCAGCCTGGTTTGACTTTAATACTTCAGCTTATCAGCATTTGATTTTTTTTTTTTTTTTTGAGACGGAGTTTCGCTCTTGTTACCCAGGCTGGAGTGCAATGGCGTGATCTCGGCTCACCGCAACCTCCGCCTCCCGGGTTCAGGCAATTCTCCTGCCCCAGCCTCCTGAGTCGCTGGGATTACAGGCACGCGCCACCATGCCCAGCTAATTTTTTGTATTTTTAGTAGAGACGGGGTTTCACCATGTTGACCAGGATGGTCTCGATCTCTTGACCTCGTGATCCACCCGCCTTGGCCTCCCACAGTGCTGGGATTACAGGCTTGAGCCACCGCGCCCGGCCAAGTCTTCCTTTATTATTAAATATTCTATTACTGAGTTACAGAGGCTTAAGAAGCTCAGAATATATGACTGGTTGTAATCTATTTGCAAAACTTTTTAAAGGCTGCATTAATATACTGATTTTCTGGCTTAAATTCCTTTTAGTAAAAAGCAGAATACTGGTTCAATTTATTAGAGAAGGTCATGCCCTCTCATCCACTTGGTTTACTATATTTATAAAGTACTTTTTCTCAGTGAAACCTTTTTATTCTGCATTGTATTTACATATTTTATGTTAAATGGAATATTGTAATATAACTTTTTGGTGACTAAAATTAATTATTATACTACTTCAAATGAAATTTTATTTCAAAGTATACATTATTTTTACAAGCATTTTAGCAGACATTTCATTTAAGAGGTAAATTAATCTGACTAAACAAAGTTGATATAATTTAGGAAAAACATGTTAAAATGCAAAATGTGTACTTTTTAAACAAAATGCTAGTAATAGCTATATAAGAATTAAGAGATATATTTCTGAGATTACTTGATAAATAAACAAGATCTCAACTATGGCAGGCAGTTTGAATTTTTTAACCAGATGTCATCATGCTGAATGTTTACCAACTCTGAGTAAGAAACTTGTTTCAGATGGTCTTAATACTTAAACCTGGTGGAATGCTTTGCCATTTTAATTTTTGACACAATTATAGGCACATCCAAATTATTTCTCTTACATGTTCAACAGCTTACAATCAACTACTTGAAAGACTGCTAGAAGGAAAGAAAAGAATATGGAAAGTATAATTTCTGGGATTTAGTTCTATAAAATGATAAATATGTCTATTATTTAAACAGTGTCCGAATTATTACTATTATTACCAAGTTCTAATATGTGAAAGGTACCCAGTTTATTAATTATTTTTCTTACATTCCACAGATGTGTTCAGAGCAACATTGTTTTGTTGACACAAGCCTTTAGAAGAAAGTTTGTCATTCCTGACTTTATGTCTTTTACCTCACACATTGATGAGTTATATGAAAGCGCTAAAAAGCAGTCTGGAGGAAAGGTAATGCTTTTGATGTACATATTTTCATATCCCAATCACTTAATAAATTCAGCTCACTTTGAGGTCTAGAGAGTAAATTGTGTAGTTGCGTTTTGGTAAAGAAAATACTTTAGCTTTGTTTAAGAAATTTAAGTTAAGTGAAGCCCCTGGATTTAGTGTTTTTAAAATATTTTAAATATTTAACTTTGTTATTCTGGCTAAAGAGAAATCTAAGGATAAGAATATTTTCATTTTCTTTTATTTATTTATTTATTTATTTATTTATTTATTTGAGATGGAGTTTCACTCATGTTACCCAGGCTGGAGTGCAATGGCGCGATCTCGGCTCACCGCAACCTCTGCCTCCTGGGTTCAGGCAATTCTCCTGCCTCAGCCTCCTGAGTAGCT